TATGTGTTTGCAGTAAAGTATTCATTTAAAATTGTTTTATTTCTCTTACCATAAGTCTTGTTACCACCAACAACCTTGATTTGATACTGCGGCCAAGACAGATCTGGATCTATGGCTTCTTTTAAATGGATACTAGTAACCCTGAAGGGTGACCAGTAACAATTTTTATAGTACTGCTAGATAAATTTTCAACTTCTGTCTCTAAAAGCCAATTAATTGGTACAACACTGTAATCTTTACTTAAAGAAAATATGACAACTGCCCATTTCTGTTTTTTTGTTAACATCTGCAAAAATAAAATTAGGCATTTAAATGTCGTTAATTAAGTACCTAGTAGGTACACAAGTTGTTTCACCGTTTGTTCATGTCACAATTTTTTTCTCCTGAAGACACATAATGTGCCTGAWACGCTTGGACTTGGAACTAATTGAAATTTTACATTCATTAAATTACAAAGAATTTAAAGGAGTTTAGTACAATGTAGGTACATTTGGTGATAACAACTGATGGATGTTATTTTGTTTTGTATCGCACATAAAAAAATCGGGGGATTATTATTTGAATTTTTGGAGTTTGGTAAACAACTGCTGAACTGCAATCTACATATTATAGAGTATTAATGAGTGTAAAAAACAAAGGTTTTCAACCAAAAGTCAAAAGAACTATATAAGTTATAAAATAGTATATCACCCAAATACAAACTATACTCGAACATACCTACCTAGCAATATAATAAAATTATACAGTACTTTTAAAACATATTATTAAGTAATACTAATTTGTTTAAACACTTACCTTTTTATCAGGAATATTCGACATACTTAACCTCGTACTTAACTGCTTATAATAGATTCAAAAATCTTAACGAATTGACACAGGTATCACCGCACGAGTAGAAAGAACACAATAAATAAGACCAACCAACACAAAATAATAATGACCACGATAACAAAATATGTGCGACGGATTACGTACTACAAAGATTTACTTAAGATTTACGAGTAATGATCATCCCTACACAAAGGCATCGGACTTTTGGAGCGAGTTATGTCGTGGTCGTCGTCAATCGACAATAATAAAAATACGCGGCGAGCGGATCATTTGTTTCATCGTTTCGCAAATGACGCAAAATGACGCGGTCACTGAAGGGGATAACCGGTGTGGCGTTGTGGCCCGTATGATAAACGTATCTATATAATATAGTGTTATTGGTTTATCATTGTCAGGGCCGGATTAAAGGGGGGGCAGAGGGGGCATCTGCCCCCGGGCGCAAGATTTTAAAGGCGCAAAGTTTTGAAATATTGTAGATTTAGAGTGAAAAAACTATTWRCGATTACGACAGTGTACACGGCGCGCAAACTCACATAAGCGTTTCCACAAATTTACCGATATCTGAATTACAAGTAATAACTAGTCACAGTGTCCAGGTAATAATAATTATTATTTAACGTCTATATAATATAGATAACATTTCCACCGACAACTGCGACCAATTATTATTCAAACGTTTAAAAATAGATTATAAATTATTGAATTATCCATCTTACCGCTTACGCGATAACGCAGTACGAGTGAACGACTAAATTCGTTCGTATCTCGACCACAATCATTTCATTCGTTTCGTCGAGCGCAGACAATAATATTAAGTCGATCGATGTCATAGTTTTGTTATTTTATACTGCTATTTTGTCAACCTAAATTTTTTTTGATGAAGAAAATACCGAAGAAATTCTTCATGGATCCCATAAAATGAAAACGCAAACATTTTTTGTTATTATCGATACAATGATTTCTGATTTGACTAAAAGAAAAATTGCTTATGATAAAATTTATAATCAGTTTGATTTTTTATTTAATCTTGGRAATCTAAAATCGGATGATATTGAAAAGAAGGCAGATCACTTTCAAAATATTTATTGCGATGATATAGATAAAGATTTTGTTCAAGAAGTATTGCAATTGAGTTTTATAGTGAATTCTATTTTCCCCAAATCAGATGAATCGAACAAAGATAAACCAAATACACAAAATTTATTGACAATTCTGAGATATAAAAAGTTGGATAGTTTATTTCCTAATACTGAAATTGCATTAAGATTGTATTATACTCTACCTATATCTAACTGTTCCGGCGAAAGATCGTTTTCGGCCTTAAAAAGGGTCAAGAGCTATTTGCGATCTAYTCTTTCAAAAGAAAAATTAAATTCATTTGCTATTCTTAATATTGAAAATGTTTTACTTGAATCTATGTCATGGGATGRATGTAWWRACCAATTCGCTAAACAGAAATCAAGAAAAGCGTTTTTATAAAATATTATAAATAAGTATTTTATATATCATTTTAATAAATAAACTAAAATTAAATTAAATCATACTACAAATTTGTTATTTGTTATTTTAATAAATGTATTGTTCAGGTATATATTAATATTAAAAAGATTGTTAACATATTATTTCAATATATTTATAATATTATTTAATAAATGCCAAATTATAGTAACACAATGTTATGTTTATAAAAATTAGTTCTTAATTTTAGGTAGGTTTGCCCCGGGGTGCAAAATATCTTAATCCGGCCCTGATCATTGTATATTTTTAAAAATTTAACCGTTAAGGTACTATTACAACACCAATAAAATAATGAAAAATCCAAAACAACATTATTTCGTTTTTCAAAACGCCATTGCATTTAAGATATAATGCTATTAAATACCATATTGTATTCTCGTTCAAATTCTTGTTTTGATGTAAGCATATACCCCTAATTATCCCGGTATTACCAATTACCAATTATACCATATTGATATTATCCATGGTAGTCATGTATTCATTATTTTTAGTTATAAATTAAGATGATCACGAGATGCAGAGTACTAGCATTAAAATCCAGTGCTGATAGCTCCCTTGTAGTTATTTATGCCAATGGGTGTTTTCTTTTCTTCACCGATTTGCTCTAAATATTTCCTAGCACAGGGGTAAGCAAGTAATTTCTATCGGAGTCTGGAGGATCAAAAAGTTTTT